TCAAGCTAACGACACTCACTGCTAACAACACTCACAGACATCAAGCTAACGACACTCACTGCTAACAACACTCACAGACATCAAGCTAACGACACTCACTGCTAACAACACTCACAGACATCAAGCTAACGACACTCACAGACATCAAGCTAACGACACTCACTGCTAACAACACTCACAGACATCAAGCTAACGACACTCACTGCTAACTGACACTCACAGACATCAAGCTAACGACACTCACTGCTAATGACACTCACAGACATCAAGCTAACGACACTCACTGCTAACGACACTCACAGACATCAAGCTAACGACACTCACTGCTAACGACACTCACAGACATCAAGCTAACGACACTCACTGCTAACGACACTCACAGACATCAAGCTAACGACACTCACTGCTAACGACACTCACTGCTAACAACACTCACAGACATCAAGCTAACGACACTCACTGCTAACAACACTCACAGACATCAAGCTAACGACACTCACTGCTAACAACACTCACAGACATCAAGCTAACGACACTCACTGCTAATGACACTCACAGACATCAAGCTAACACTCACTGCAAGACACTCACAGACACTCAAGCTAACGACACTCACAGACATCAAGCTAACGACACTCATTGCTAATGACACTCACAGACATCAAGCTAACGACACTCATTGCTAATGACACTCACAGACATCAAGCTAACGACACTCACTGCTAATGACACTCACAGACATCAAGCTAACGACACTCACTGCTAACGACACTCACAGACATCAAGCTAACGACACTCATTGCTAACGACACTCACAGACATCAAGCTAACGACACTCATTGCTAATGACACTCACAGACATCAAGCTAACGACACTCACTGCTAATGACACTCACAGACATCAAGCTAACGACACTCACTGCTAACGACACTCACAGACATCAAGCTAACGACACTCACTGCTAACAACACTCACAGACATCAAGCTAACGACACTCACTGCTAACAACACTCACAGACATCAAGCTAACGACACTCACTGCTAACGACACTCACAGACATCAAGCTAACGACACTCACTGCTAACAACACTCACAGACATCAAGCTAACGACACTCACTGCTAGACACACTCACAGACATCAGCTAACAACACTCACAGACATCAAGCTAACGACACTCACTGCTAACGACACTCACAGACATCAAGCTAACGACACTCACTGCTAACGACACTCACAGACATCAAGCTAACGACACTCACTGCTAACAACACTCACAGACATCAAGCTAACGACACTCACTGCTAACAACACTCACAGACATCAAGCTAACGACACTCACTGCTAACAACACTCACAGACATCAAGCTAACGACACTCACTGCTAACAACACTCACAGACATCAAGCTAACGACACTCACTGCTAACGACACTCACAGACATCAAGCTAACGACACTCACTGCTAACGACACTCACAGACATCAAGCTAACGACACTCACTGCTAACAACACTCACAGACATAACAACACTCACAGACATCAAGCTAACGACACTCACTGCTAACAACAGACTCAGCTAACGACACTCACAGACATCAAGCTAACGACACTCACTGCTAACGACACTCACAGACATCAAGCTAACGACACTCACTGCTAATGACACTCACAGACATCAAGCTAACGACACTCACTGCTAACAACACTCACAGACATCAAGCTAACGACACTCACTGCTAACGACACTCACAGACATCAAGCTAACGACACTCACTGCTAACGACACTCACAGACATCAAGCTAACGACACTCACTGCTAACGACACTCATTGCTAATGACACTCACAGACATCAAGCTAACGACACTCACTGCTGACAACACTCACAGACATCAAGCTAACGACACTCACTGCTAACAACACTCACAGACATCAAGCTAACGACACTCACTGCTAACAACACTCACAGACATCAAGCTAACGACACTCACTGCTAACAACACTCACAGACATCAAGCTAACGACACTCACTGCTAACAACACTCACAGACATCAAGCTAACGACACTCACTGCTAACGACACTCACAGACATCAAGCTAACGACACTCACTGCTAACAACACTCACAGACATCAAGCTAACGACACTCACTGCTAACGACACTCACAGACATCAAGCTAACGACACTCACTGCTAACAACACTCACAGACATCAAGCTAACGACACTCACAGACATCAAGCTAACGACACTCACTGCTAACAACACTCACAGACATCAAGCTAATGACACTCACTGCTAACGACACTCACAGACATCAAGCTAACGACACTCACTGCTAATGACACTCACAGACATCAAGCTAACGACACTCACTGCTAACAACACTCACAGACATCAAGCTAACGACACTCACTGCTAACGACACTCACAGACATCAAGCTAACGACACTCACTGCTAACGACACTCACAGACATCAAGCTAACGACACTCACTGCTAACAACACTCACAGACATCAAGCTAACGACACTCACTGCTAACGACACTCACAGACATCAAGCTAACGACACTCACTGCTAATGACACTCACAGACATCAAGCTAACGACACTCACTGCTGACACTCACAGACATCAAGCTAACAACACTCACTGCTAATGACACTCACAGACATCAAGCTAACGACACTCACAGACATCAAGCTAACGACACTCATTGCTAACGACACTCACAGACATCAAGCTAACGACACTCACTGCTGACAACACTCACAGACATCAAGCTAATGACACTCATTGCTAATGACACTCACAGACATCAAGCTAACAACACTCACTGCTAACGACACTCACAGACATCAAGCTAACGACACTCACTGCTAACGACACTCACAGACATCAAGCTAACGACACTCACTGCTAACAACACTCACAGACATCAAGCTAATGACACTCATTGCTAATGACACTCACTGCTAACGACACTCACTGCTAACAACACTCACAGACATCAAGCTAACGACACTCACTGCTAACGACACTCACAGACATCAAGCTAACAACACTCACTGCTAACGACACTCACAGACATCAAGCTAACGACACTCACTGCTAACAACACTCACAGACATCAAGCTAACGACACTCACTGCTAACGACACTCACAGACATCAAGCTAACGACACTCATTGCTAATGACACTCACAGACATCAAGCTAATGACACTCACTGCTAACGACACTCACAGACATCAAGCTAACGACACTCACTGCTAACAACACTCACAGACATCAAGCTAACGACACTCACTGCTAACGACACTCACAGACATCAAGCTAACGACACTCATTGCTAATGACACTCACAGACATCAAGTTAACGACACTCACTGCTAACGACACTCACAGACATCAAGCTAACGACACTCACTGCTAACGACACTCACTGCTAACAACACTCACAGACATCAAGCTAACGACACTCACTGCTAATGACACTCACAGACATCAAGCTAATGACACTCACTGCTGACAACACTCACAGACATCAAGCTAATGACACTCACTGCTAACAACACTCACAGACATCAAGCTAACGACACTCACTGCTAACGACACTCACAGACATCAAGCTAACGGCACTCACTGCTGACGACACTCACTGCTAACGACACTCACTGCTAACAACACTCACAGACATCAAGCTAACGACACTCACTGCTAACGACACTCACAGACATCAAGCTAATGACACTCACTGCTAATGACACTCACAGACATCAAGCTAATGACACTCACAGACATCAAGCTAACGACACTCATTGCTAATGACACTCACTGCTGACGACACTCACAGACATCAAGCTAACGACACTCATTGCTAATGACACTCACTGCTAACGACACTCACAGACATCAAGCTAACGACACTCACTGCTGACGACACTCACAGACATCAAGCTAACGACACTCACTGCTGACGACACTCACTGCTAACGACACTCAGAGACATCAAGCTAACGACACTCACTGCTAATGACACTCACAGACATCAAGCTAACGACACTCATTGCTAATGACACTCACAGACATCAAGCTAACGACACTCATTGCTAATGACACTCACAGACATCAAGCTAATGACACTCACTGCTAATGACACTCACTGCTGACGACACTCACTGCTAACGACACTCACTGCTAATGACACTCACTGCTGACGACACTCACTGCTAATGACACTCACTGCTAAAGACACTCACTGCTAATGACACTCACTGCTAATGACACTCACTGCTAATGACACTCACTGCTAATGACACTCACTGCTAATGACACTCACTGCTAATGACACTCACTGCTGACGACACTCACTGCTAATGACACTCACTGCTAATGACACTCACTGCTGACGACACTCACTGCTAAAGACACTCACTGCTAATGACACTCACTGCTAATGACACTCACTGCTAATGACACTCACTGCTAATGACACTCACTGCTAATGACACTCACTGCTGACGACACTCACTGCTAAAGACACTCACTGCTAATGACACTCACTGCTGACGACACTCACTGCTAAAGACACTCACTGCTAATGACACTCACTGCTAATGACACTCACTGCTAAAGACACTCACTGCTAATGACACTCACTGCTAATGACACTCACTGCTAATGACACTCACTGCTAATGACACTCACTGCTGACGACACTCACTGCTAAAGACACTCACTGCTAATGACACTCACTGCTAATGACACTCACTGCTAAAGACACTCACTGCTAATGACACTCACTGCTAATGACACTCACTGCTAATGACACTCACTGCTGACGACACTCACTGCTAATGACACTCACTGCTAATGACACTCACTGCTAAAGACACTCACTGCTAATGACACTCACTGCTAATGACACTCACTGCTAATGACACTCACTGCTAATGACACTCACTGCTAAAGACACTCACTGCTAAAACACTCACTGC